TTTCCTCCATAAAGTAAACACATATGAGTTCCCATGTCAAGTCCCCAATTCATTTTATGGCAGATTTTTAATTCAGCCAGTTTCCTGTTAACTTATTTAAAAAGGCATATATACATAGTATTTGAGAGACCTGGTGCAAAGAAGAACTCTATCCCTTCGGTGGTGGTATACTGCCACCTAATGCTTGCCCAGGAAAAGCCATCAGTCTGCCTGGGAGCACAGGCCTGTAATTACAACAGAAGTCTATATCAGAGAGCACGTTCCAGTCCAGCTGGAGCAACACTGCAAGACCCACTTTAAAAAAAAAAATTTAAAGACAAAACAGAAAAAGAAAAAAGAAAAACACATCAAACATGCTCATATAAATTCATAAATGAGGAAATAAAAGGCAGTAGATGAGTCATTTTATTATTGTTGAAAGACACCATATACAAATATGCTATGCACATATAAAATGTCCCTAGCATAGATTTAAACTTTTCACAGTTGTGACCTCCAGGAAGGGGCATGGGTGGCTGGGAAAACCGAGGTACATTATTGTGTATCTTTTAATCTTGAGTCATATCATGTGTTGTTAATCAGAAAATGACAAAACTTACAAAATAAGCTCTGATTGAGTTTGTGGGTAGGGCGGGAAAAGGGCCATCCTTTCTTTGTTAATTCATTCAAGTACTTAAAAAATACTTCTGCCGGGCATGGTGGCCCATGACTTTAGTCCCAGCACTTGGGAGGCAGAGCCAGGTGGATCTCTGTGAGTTCAAGGCCAGCCTGGTCTAGATAGCAAGCTCCAGACCAGCTTAGGCTACTGGGAGACCCTGCCTCAAAAAGACAACAAAACAAAACAAAACAAAACAAATAAATAAAACAGAAGAGCAAGGACAGAAACACACACTGCTGCCTTCCTGAGGGTGCTACTTAGAGGATGGACTTGAACCCCATATGTTGAGGTAAGCAGAGCCTGTGGTGACCTTGAGGAGCAGAGCCTCTGGCCACGGGTTGGTGTGCTGGGGAACAGCCACCTTCTGCACACTTAGGGGATCTTTAGTTCAGCACTTTAGCTTTGTCTTAATATGGCATTTCACAAGTGTGAGCTGACATTTCTTTCATCCACACTCTTCCTGGGTACCATGGAAACCTTGCAACAGGGAGCCACAAACAAGGTTGCAGAGCTAATCTCAGCAAACCCCTAAACATGAGTATTGTATTCATTGCTTTCTAATTACTGTTACAAAACACCTGACAAGTGGGGCATGGTGGGGTGCTACATGGCTTTAATCCCAGCACTTGGGAGACAGAAGCAGGTGGATCTCTGTGAGTTCTGAGTTCGAGACCAGTCTAGTCTACATAGTGAGTTCCAGGCCAGCTGGGGCTACAGGGAGATCCTGCCTCAAAAAGACCAAAAAAAAAAAAAAAAAACAACCCTGAAAAACACAACTTAAAGAAGGAAGGTTTATTTTGGCTCACAGTTTGAGGGTGTACAGTGTACAGTGCATTTGGCAGGGAAGGCATGGACATCATCAAGAGTGACTCTAGCTGTGACAGCTGGTCACATTGTGATATAGTTAGGAAGCAGAGAGATGAATTCTGGTGCTTAGTTCACTTTCTCTTTTCTTTTCTGTCTAGGTTGCCACCCATACTCAGGGTAGGTCTCCCCTCCTCAGTTCAACCTTTTTAGAAACACCTTCATAGATATACCCTGAGGCATGTTTCCATGGTGATTCTAAATCCAAAAATTATCACAGGTATCATAGAGATTATGTTCCTGACCATAATGCAATCATGTAGAAATTCATTAATGAAAGTTTAATCTTTAAAAGCTAGGTGTGTGGTGGTACCTTTAATCCCAGCACTAGGGAGGCAGAGGCAGGCCTGAATTTGAGGCCAGCCTGGTCTACATAGTGAGCTCCAGGCCAGCTGAGGCTATAGGGAGACCCTGTCTCAAAACAAGAAAAGCCATTAGCAACAACAAAAAAGTAAAATAAAAATTAATTTAAAATTAATTGAGGACTTGGGCTCAATTCCCAGCACGTGGCAGCTAACAACCATCCATAACTCCAGTTCCAGGGGAATCAATGCCTTCTGACCTCTGCAGACATTGCACTGGATGGCAATTCACTCATACACATAAAAAATAAATAAATAAATAAATATGTTTTAAATACTATGCTGGAAGTATAAAAAGAATGATAGAGAATTGATGAGAGGTCACTATAAATAAAAAGAGATGACATGTTAATTATTAACAAATTAGAAAGCATCTACTAAAGGAAACACCTGGTAGAATATCCAAGCAGTGAACAGCATATATAAAACTGAGAGAAATTCTAGAATGTGAGTGGAATATGATGAAAATAGCAGAAATGATAAAAGTTGTGAAGGAGCCAGACAGGGTCATTTCAAGTCCATGAACAGATGTGGGGACCTAAAGGCCTGGCCTTGCCAAGATGGCGCCGAGAGGAAGTTACTGGGGTGCAGCCTGACTTGTTTTGAAGATCATTGGATTGGATGCCTCCATAAGCTTTTATGGACTCCTGCCTGCATGCGTGCATTGACCTTTAAGCTGATTGGAGAACTATGAGGGGTGGGGGAATTATAAGCACCCTGCCCTGCTGCAATAAACGAGTTCCTGCTTGACTAGACTCCCCATTGCATCTGATTGTTCCCGGTGCTGGGGGCAGCAAGGGCTGGTGAATGGCACGCTTACTCATCCCCAGTCATCCTTGCTCGGGGGTAGCAGGCTTGAACCCCCGACAAACAGAGATTTCAAAATATCAGAAAACAGAGGGCTGGAGAGATTGTTCGGCAGCTAAGGGCACTGTCTGCTCTTGCAGAGGACCAGAGTTCAGTTCCCAGCACCCATATGGTGGCACACAATCATCTGAAACTCAAGTTCCAGAGGATTCAACATCCTCTCTCTTCTGACTTTTGTGGGCACGAGGCACACATGTGACACACATATATACATGCAGGAAAAACAGTCATACACATAAAATAAAAACAAAAAACCTTGGAGCTGAAAGGATGGCTCAGTGGTTAAGGGCACTGGCTACTTTTGCAGAGGACCCAGTTCAGTCCCAACACTTCTGGCCTCCCTGGACAATGCTTGAATGTGTGCATTTGCTTTACTTTACATATATGCATGCAAAATGCTCATACACATAAAATAGAAATAAATCTTTTAAAATACTAGAAAAAGCCGGGTGTGGTGGCGCACGCCTTTAATCCCAGCACTTGGGAGGCAGAGGCAGGTGGATCTCTGTGAGTTCCAGGCCAGCCTGGTCTACATAGCGAGTTCCAGGTCAGCTGGGGCTACAGGGAGACCCTGTCTCCAAAAAAAAAAAAAAAAAAAAAGACCAAAAAAAAATACTAGAAAAAAAGTCAAAACCATGATAGAGACTTTTCATTTTTTATTTTTATTTTATGTGTATGAGTATTTTGCCTTCAGTATGTAAGTGTGCCCCCAGAAGTCAGAAGAGCGCATCGGATCCCCCTAGAACTGGAGTTACAGAAGGTTTGCAGCCACCATGTGGGTGCTGGGAACTGAACCCTGCTCTCTGCAAGAGCAGTCAGTGCTCTTAACCGCTGAGTCATTTCTCCAGTCTGGAGATTCAGTTTTTTTAACTACTGGATTAGCAAAGATCCAAAGGTTGGGAAGGACTCCACTGGTGAAGATGTAAAGAAACCCACACTCTCATGCATTATTTGTAGGAGTGTAAATTAATATAATGACTAAAGAGAAAATTCAGTCACATCCACGTGGTAGTTGTTTCAGAAGGCATATCCTTTACCATAGCCAATTTGGCTTCTAAGAATCTCTCCTGCATATCCACAGTGGGTGGCAAGATAGTCCTTCGGGATTCTGTAGTGTTATTTATAACAAACACTTAGGGTGGAGGTACTTTAAGGTCCACCAATAAGAGACCACATTGGCTGATGTCTTAAGCAAATCTCAGGGGTCTGATAAGACAGTGCGATGTCCAACCAGGTGCTCACGGGGGGGGGGGGGCATTTGCAGATCAGTTTTGCTAGACTATCACGCGCTGGTTGTCAATCCTGGTTTAGGCACGTTGCATCTGTGGTTAGCACCGGCTCACTCTTAGGTGCCGGGTCTTGACCACTGGGTGATTCTTGCTTCTGGCCTTTCCCAAACAGGGCGCTATTCCGGGATGCAGCCTAGCTTCCAGTACCCTGCGGGCCAGATGTCAACACGTGGGCAGACAGAAGAGGGGCCCTGGCATGGCGAAAGGAGGACAACGAACATGGGGTGGGGGACCATCTAGAGAGATGAATGAACTAGGGGCATGAATTTGGGGACTCGCTATAGTCAGGAGCTGGCAACCTTACGGCTTTTAGGAAGACAGCAGAAAATCTGGTCAAGAATAAAGGAGACAGGCTGGAGAGGTGGCTCGGAGGTTGGCTGCTCTTACAGAGGAGCAGGGTTAGCAGGCGGCTAACAACCCTCCCAGTTCCAGGAGACCAGAAGCCCACTTCTGACCTCCACGGGCATTGCACGACAGGGGTGCACTTACATACATGCAGGCAATACACTCATACGCATAAAATAAAAAAGAATAAAGAAGGCTTGCTGGCACCGCATTCTCTTTCGTGGATGCATATCCCATAACGCATTCCCTTGAAAGTAAAAGCAGAAGCAACTCCGAGGGAGGAATCCAGCGGAAAACCTTCAGCAGGACAAGGTGGTGAGGCTGAAGTGACTCCTCCATCAGGCAAGATGAGGGCCTGCTTCGCTATGCCGCGAGGAAATAGAGTCACCCAAGACCGGCAAGCAAAAGTTGCATCGGAGATGCCAAGCCCCGGTCTGTGTACCTGCACACCCACAACGGGCAGAAGAAATGTCACACCCGGGTAGAGCCGCAGTGTACGCGCATGCGCACGTACCCCTTGCCCCCGCCCCCCCTCGCCCCCCTCGTCCGGCGCCCCCTCCTCCCGGCGCCTGCGCAGCTGGACCTCGACGTCCCGCCCCGCCGGTGACGCGTAGCACGTGGGCGGGGCATGGTTCCCGACATCTACTGGGTTGCGTCCAACGAGTAAAGGCCGTAGTGACGCGGGTCACGGCTGGAGAGCTGGGGTGTTCGGCGGGTCGTTTGCCCGCTGCCCGGGGACGCGACGGCCTGTGCAGTGGAGCCGAGGGCGCCGTGCAGGGTAAGCGGGGCCTGTGGGATGTGCTCAGCGGGGATGAGGTGACGGCGGGCCTCCCCAAGCGTGGATGCGGTGCACCTGGGAGTGGCGGCGGAGCGGGAGGCTCAGGGCTCCCGGGGTGCGGGTCCACTCACCTGCCCCTCCCTGGGCTCAGCGGCAGCTCCTGAGGGCGGCCTCAGGGTCACTTGCACTCCGGGTTGCCTCCCCTGCTGCCTTTCTGTGCCCGCTCCTCAGCCTTCGCTGGACGCCTAGACCCCACTGACTGCGGGACTCTTGGTGTTGTGAACCACACTGCAGGCCAGGTAACAGGGGTCTCTCCGCATTCATTCATTCCTCCCACGTGTGCTGACCCGCCTCCCAGCTTAGAGCCAGGGACAGGCCCCTCCCCTCCTGCATCGCACAGTCCAGCTAGGAAACTCAGGAAACCCGGAGGATCTAGCATTCAGACTGTACCCAAGGTAGGAAGAGTGTCAAACGGGAAGAGCTCGCCAGGAGTCAGGGTGGGTCTGCCTCTGTTGATGTGCGTCCACGGGTGCTTCAGGCTAAAGGAGGTTGAGGCCCTGAGCTAGATATAGCTGCTCACTAGAATGGACAAACTCTGTGGAAAGCATTCAACAGCCAGAATGTGGAAGGACGGACAATCACAGCGAACAGGTTTTTATTTTAAGAGCATCTGGAAGCCATTTGATGGCTTTAAGAGGTAGAATAAAGACTATATAGCAGAGATTGTTGCAGTGGACACAGCCCCCTCACCCTGAGTGGCCATCCAAAGGAACTAGTCACCTGCAAGTGCTTGGGCAGTTATCGATGCCTCCGCAGGCATTTGTACCACGGGTCATGTGTGGTGAGCAACAGTGGGAGAGTCTCAGCCACCCAGGAAGATGATTCCCCAGGAACAGACAGATGAATTATTATATGCACTCTTCTGGGGACACTGCAGAGCCATGGAGGCAGCCAAATAATGTTCAGGGAAGGTTTCCTGTTTGTATTACCCATATATTAACAATGTAATCCCCCCAAAAAGCAAAAAAATGTAATCCTTGAAATATATGGCAAATGTAATGGTAGAAATGCAAAGACTGAGATGTTTTGTCCTTCCCCTGGAAAGAGTGTAGGCTGATATGAGGTATATCTTCGTCCCTCCTGGAGTCTGCAGGCACACAGTTGTTTGAGCTGTTTGTGTAAGGAGGTCTGGGAGAACTTCCCCTCCCACCATTCCCTGTGAAGAAGGAAATAGGAGGTGGTGCTGACAGGGCTGTTCATGTATGGGGTTTTCTTTTTGCCAATAAAAGCCTCCATCTGCCAGGAGAAATAAGTGGTGCTTTGTTAATGTGCTGTATTTTTGGACACATTTTCAGCATGTGCAGCAGGTCTCATTTGCAGTCATGGCCAGGTTCCTGTACTTCCATGCAAACCTGAAAAGAACTGGCAGCTGCCAATCTGAGGCAGATGGAACATGTTTCTAAGAGCCAGCCTCCTGTCCTCCCCTTCTAGAAATTTTGTCCTGACAGGGCAGGTTCCTAATGCCACCTCTACATTCTCTGACTCTGCCTCCACCTGACAGAAGTTAGCCCTAGGCAACCTGTTTGCCTGGTACACATCCTGTTCCCCATGCCACCTCCTGCTCCTTCCCTGCCTGGCTTTACTTCTGACAGCTTCATTGTTTACTCTGTTCTGTAAAGAGTAAACTACGATCAAGTTGTTTTCCTCTCAGTAAGCCTCTCAGGAGTCTAGTCAGTATACCCCCACTGAGTGTTGGAAATACCCACAGAAATAGAATTGGTCCCTCCTGCAGGTGCCTTAGCTGTAGACAAATACCTCAACCCAACAGAATGAAGTTGGTGTTTAGACTTGGGCCTCTGGGACTTGTGACCTGTGGGCCAGTCTGTCCATTCCCGGTCCTGTGCCCCCTCGATGTAGTGCTCTTTTTGGACCATTGATACCATCTTGAATCTGTTGTGTAAATTCGATGATTGCAGGTATTTGAGTTCATTAAAGTTTGGCTGTCTAGAGTAGAAACGTATTTACAGGAAATAGAAGTGATTAGGTATGTTCTAATTTGGTTTCTGTTGTGATAAAACACTAACCAAAAGCAACTTGGAGAGGAAAGGGTTTATTTGGCTTATACATTAGTCTGTCATCAAGGGCATCCAAGGAAGGAACCTGGAGACAGGAAACTGAAGCAGAGACCTGGAGGAAAGCTACTGACTGAAATTTTTTTTTAATTTTATTATTTTTATTTTATGTGTATGCGTGTATTGCCTGCATGTAGGTTAAGTGCACCCGTGTCGTGCAATGCCTGCAGAGGTCAGAAGAGGCTGTGGGATCCCCTGGATCTGGAGTTACGGACAGTTGTTAGCTGCCATGTGGGTGCTGGGATTCGAACCCGGGTCTTCTGCAAGAACAACTAATGTTCTTAATTACTGAGCCATCTTTCCAGTTCCCCCCCCTTTTTTTGCTTTATTTTTATTTTATGTGTATGTGTGTATTGCGTGCATGTATGCAAGTGCACCTGTATCATGTAGTGCCCACAGAGGGCAGAAGAGGGTGTTAGATGCCCTAGAATTAGAGTTACAGATAGTTGTTAGCCACCATGTAGGCACTGGGATTCAAACCTAGGTCTTCTGCAAGAACAGCTAGTGCTCTTAACCACTGAGTCATCTCTCCAGCCCCTCAGCTAGCTTTCTTATACTACCCAGGCTCACCTGCCTGCCAATGGCACTGCCTAAAGTGGTCAGGGTCCTCCTACATCAATCAGCAATCAGGAAAATGCCCTACAGACATGCTCACAGGCCAAATCTTGGAAGAAATTCCTCAATAAAGGTTCTCTTTTCACAGATGACTCTAGTTTGTGTCAATTCAACAGACTAACCAGCACAAAGCACCTTCATTTTGGAGGCCAAAGTCAGGGACTCCCATCTTCGCCTGTTACTTGCTAGCCATGAAATCTGAGGGATACTCTTTGGGCCTTAGTAAAGTCCTATGGAAAATGAGGGGAGGGACACAGACCTTTTGGACCCCTGGACACAGGAGATGATATGTAAAGGCATTGTTTAATTGGTAGATAATTTCAGTAAACCACCACTTTGCCTTGTTCATCTGCTCATGCAGAACTTGGTTCTTAAACTGTCACATGACAAGTTAAACTTGATTCTGTGAAGAGAGTGTTAACATTGCTTTTCTGTCTGCACCTTTTGTGTCTAGAAATAACCGCCAGGTATGGTGGTGCACGCCTTTAATCCCAGCACTCAGGAGGCAGAGTCAGGCAGATCTCTGTGAGTTCAAGGCCAGCCTGGTCTACATAGTTCCAGGATAGCTGGGACTATAAGGAGACCCTGTCCCAAAAAGACCAAAAAAAAAAAAAAAAACAAAAACAAAAACCGAAACAACCGCTTGAACTCTTTCCTGTAAATCAAGTTAGGTCAGCATTTAATGATCACATAGAAACCTGAAAGTTTGGGTCATGGTAACCTACCAAAGGGAAGCCAGCAGGAGAAGCAATTGTAAGGTGAGAGCTAACTGTCTATGGGTGGACACTGTCTATACTACGTGTCTCTCCTGTCAGCTACCATCCTCAAATACAGGTAATTCCCTAGGCACCAGCTCCAGACCTGTTATCTTTCACAAGGATTGATCCCTTTTCTGATAGAACTGCTTCCTGTCAAATTCTGTGTAGGAAACCTGATTGTGTCTCCTGCTAAGCAGCCTTTCCCCAGTGAACTGCTCTCTGTGGTCACCACCTGGTGCCTGTTCTGCCTTAGTAAATCACTTAAGCCATCAGCTGACCTCCCTCAGTAGAAAAGTGTGAATGAACAGCCACTGGCTGTGGCCTCATGTTGGGCCTTGAGGGGTCTGAGAAAGGTGGGTTGCTCCCTATGCCCAAAGAAATACTATCTGACCAAGGAGGACAAGAGAAACTCACATGAGACTCGTACAATTTACCACCGTGGTCAAAGTGTATAGAGTGCTCTGTAGCCAGGGTTCGGGGTGACAGTAAATGTTTTGGGAGATTTGTAAGGGTATAGAAAAAGGACCAAAGAAACAGGATGCTTAAAAAACAAACATTGGGGCTGGAGAGATGGCTCAGTGGTTAAGAGGACTGGCTATTCTTGTAGAGGACCCAGGTTCAATTCCCAGCACCCACCATAGTGGCTAACAACTATTCATAACCCCAGTTCCAGGGGATCCAACACCCTCTTATGACCTCCACGGGCATTGCACAATATGCGTACACTTACATACATGAAGGCAATACACTCATAAAGTAAAAATTTTAAAAACAGACAAAAATCCCAGAACATCTTTAAGGTAGGAAGAATCACAGTAAGTCATGGCCTTTTGTTTCTGTTGAAAGTGGGGCATGACTAGAGCTTTATAAGAGTTAAATTTGGCTCAGTGGGTAGCCCTTACCACCTACAGACTTGATTCTGTCATAGAGAATATAGTATCCAACAACAGATCATATGTGTGCCTGAGGTTTTCCTATGTGTTCTTGAGGTTTTCCTAGATCTCCTTCATTATGTTCAGATACTGTCCTATTTGTAGTCTTTTGAATGTTTTTACTCTGAAAAGGTGATGGATTCAGCTGCGTTTTTCAGTATCAGTTGAGATGATCATGTTGATTTTCTCCTTCATTCTGTTAATGTAATATCTTATATTCATTGGTCTCATATGTTGAACCATCCTTGCAGTCTAGGAATAAACCGTACTTGGTCATGGTAAATGATCCTTTTTACTATGCTGTTGAATTCATTTTGATGGTATTTGTTGAGAATTTTTGCATGAATATTCATAAGAGATATACATTTATACTTGTAATGTTTTTTTATCTGGTTTGATGTCAGGGTAAGGATGGAATGATTTAAAGAGTGCTTCCTTCTCTTCAATATTTTAGAATATTTTTAGAAGGATTGGTTTTTCTGTGTCATTGGGAGTGTTTCTGTTTAGTTTAAGACAAGATCTTGTTATGTAACTCAGGCTAGCTTAGAAATCTATTCTCCTGCCTTAGCCCCATGAGTGCTAGATTACACGTGTGCACCACCACACCCAAGCTTTGGGAAGATAGGTGTTAATTCTTTCACTATTTAGTAGAATAAGTAGTGAACTCTACCCCAAGTCTTTTCATTGCTGGGAGGGTTTTTTTTGTTGTTGTTGTGGTGGTGGTGGTGGTTGTAGGTTTGGGGTTTTTTGGTTTTGTTTTGTTTTGTTGAGATGGTGTCTCCCTGTAGCCCCAGCTGGCCTTGAACTTACTATGTAAACCAACCTGCCTGGCCTCGATCTCACAGGAATACTGGCATCAAAGAAAGGTGTGTGCCACCATACCTGACTCAATGTAGATTTCTTATTATTTAATATCATGCCTTTACTACATACAGGTCTATTCTTATTTTCATGACTTGTCTTGGTAGGTTATGTGCATCTAGGAGTTTGTCCATTTCATCTAGGTTATAAAATTTGTAGGTATTGTATCCTTTTAGAATAGTTTTTATTTTGCGAAATTGGCATTAAATGTCCAGTTTCATTTCTGTTTTGTTGTTGTTGAGTCTTCTCTTTATTTCTTAGGCAGTCTAACTAAAAGTTTATTGGTGGGGCTGGAGAGATTGCCTAGCGGTTAAAAGCACTGATTGCTCTGCCAGAGAAGCTGAGTTTGGTTCCCAGCACTCATATGAGGTAGCTCACAACCACCTGTAACTCCAGCTGTAGGGGATCTGAAGCCCTCTTATGGCCTCCAAAAGCAACTGCACTCACATGCACATTTTCACACACACAAAATTAAAAGTAAAGTCTTTTTTTTTAAGTTTATTGGTTATGTTACTCTTAAAATATGTTTTTCTGTTCTTTATCCTCTAATCCTTGTTTCCGTCTAGCTGTATATGCTGTTCTTACTCTAGTTTCTTTGGATGTAAGGTTAGGTTGTTGGTTTGAGAACTCATTTACATTCATAGCTATGAATTTCTCTCTTGGCACACTTTCATTGTATGCCATGGTTTTGTTATGTTGTGTTTTCATTTTTCACTTCTCTCAAGGTTTTGGTTTTGCTTTGTTTTCCAGAGCTTGGAGTAGAACTCAGGGCTTTGCACATTTTCGGCAAGCATTCTGCCACTGATCTATATACCCAGCTCTCTGGGTGTGTGTGTGTGTGTGTGTGTGTGTGTGTCTGTATGTCTGTGTGCCTGTGTGTCTGTGGAGGTGCACCTGCAGACAGACAGACAGACAGAGAGACTGAGAACCTTGCTCTGTAACTCAGGCAGGCCTTGAACTCTCAATGTAGCCCAGGTTAGCCTCAAACTCAGGATCCTCCTGCTTCTACTTCCTGAGAAAATATTTTCTAATTTTGTTGGTGACTTTTTTGACCTACTGGTGTGTTTAACATCCACATAACTGAATTACTTAGTTTTCCTTCTACTTGATTTCTACTTTCATTCTGTCATGATTGGAAAAGACAGTTTGTATGATTTTGATTTTTTAATGTTTATTAGGACTTTTTTTTTTAAATATCATCTGTCTAGAGAATGTTCTGTCATCAGTATCCTGAAGAATATTCCTTATGCACTTGGGAAGAATATGTGCTCTACTTTTCTGGGGCGGGCATGTAGTATGCTAGAACAAGGCACTCTGTAGTATTGGGAAAATCCTTTGTTTCCTTACATTTGAGTTTTCTGTTATTGAGAGAGTGGAGATTGAGCCAACCACGTAATAGTGGTGCATATCTGTAATCGCAGCACTTGGGAGGCTGAGACAGGAGAATCCAGAGTTCATAGGAAAATGCTGTCCTAACCCCACCTGCAACCAGAAAAAGAAATGAAAGCTTTTGAAACCTATTGTTAAATGTCTGTTTCTCCCTTCATTTGTGTCAGTGTTTAACTCATAGATCTGGGAGTTCTGCTTGTTTTTAAGACTTCTATGAGAGAAAAGGTGCCTCAAGCTTTCTGTCTCATTACCTGGCTATCTCCCCCTTAAGGATTCAAAACAGGGACATTTTGCATGTCTGGTGATAACATGGAAGATCAGTGGGGCAGAGCAGCATCCTTTTCTCTTGGAGATAAGATTCTATGTGCCATGCTGTGTGGCAGTAGCACAAGACACAGAGTCTCTGCTTTTGAGGGGCTCGCACCCTAGAAGTTGGATTTACTGCTGGGAGGCGATCTCGTGGCTTTTTCCTCCCACCATCCATACAACCAACTGACACAATGTTCCTCCAGACTACAGTTTAGAGAATAAAGATGTTTATTTGGGCTGGCTAACAGAGCATATGATGTCAGTGGGGAGTACTTACAAAGGTATAGATACCCTATATCCCTACATCTCAGCTGAGCCTTCCAGATCTATAGCCACTGGCCCCCCAACCCAAGATGGCAAGTTCCTTCCTCTGCTCTAAAATATCTCTCCTTACTCCTGCCCCCTCATGCAGTTAAGGCTGATTAATTGGGTGACTTGACTGTCTCACTCTGCCCCTCCCTTCCTACAGAGAGTCTTAGGGTTCAAACAGTTTGACATAAGTGGGGGTGGGGCTTGGGGGGGAACCTAGAGAAGAAGATACCTGTCTGTTGCTGGTCATTTGGAGGACCTATCCAACAAGGGGAGACACAGACCTTCAGAAATAAATCTAACAAATGCTGATGTCATTGCCAGGTGAGACTGGGTGCAGGAAACTCAGAGAGCCCATGATAGGATGTTCAAGGCAGGGAAGGTTGTAGCAGTAACATTTTAGCAGTCTTTGTGATGAGGGCAGAGTTAGTTGGCACACTTGATGGCCAAGCATTCTGGGAATGATTAATGGTTTATACAGAGGGCCTGGGATAGGAAGGAGCTGAGTTTTCAAGGCAGGAGGAACTGTGTCCCTAGAATGCATGGGCAAGGAGATGCTGCAGGGGCCAGGCCTCAGCAGGGGGTGAGACATGATCCTGAGAGCAGGGGGTAGGTCACAAGTACAGTGGGACCAAGGGAAGCCCAGAGTTAAGACAGGAGTTGGGGGCTAGGGAGGGAGGCCTGCTCCTTAGCTCTTGCCAGGAGAGCCTTTCTGAGCCCTGCATGTGGCAGAAGTTAGGAAGGTGACTTGTCTTGTTTTCCAGCCTGGGCCTCTCTCCTGGGCCTGGGACACAGAGGCAGTGCTTATGTGACCTGAGCTCTGTGCCCAAGAGCATTCAGGTGTGACCAGAGCTGGGATCCAGGAAGGAAAAGACAAAGAAGGCTTGCTGTGTACAGTCTCGTTCCAGTTCTGTTTCTCCCAGGCAGCTTTAGAATGAACATCAGGCAACCTGCTTAGGACTTTATGCCCCTCATAATCACCGTAGCCTCGGGGTTCTTCTGCCCATTGCTCTCCATGATTCCCAGGCAGTATGTCCTCCTCTGCCCCTCTCCAAAGCTTGCCTTCAGGTTGTGTTCTCTGTGTCCAGTCTTGAGCACACTGAATTTCCAAACACTGTCATGTGCCATGTGATGGCCCTCCATGAGGAGCCACTTTGCAGAGGAGGCCCCTGGAGGGGCTAGCCTGCCATGGCCACACTCCTGCCAGCAGGACCCAAGTCCTACTTGTAGCCCATTCCCACAACTGACAGGAGTAAAAAATGAAAGGACTGGCTGACATCCTTTGGAGGTAGGGCAAGCCTTGAGAGGCAGACCCCTGTTTAAGACCAGGCGCTACTAATAAAATGTGAACAGGCATGGTGGCACTCACCTATACTCTCATCCCGAAAGAGGCTGAGGAAGAAGGGTTGAGGTTTGAAGGCAGCCTGGACTACATAGCAGGAGCCTATCTCAATAAACCCCTCCCCGCAAAATTTGAACAAATGGTTTTATTTGGAGTCTATTAGACCAAAAATATTGGCACCAAATTAATTTATTTTCCTACCTGGCTAGAATTTTATGGGCTCTGAAAGTACACAGACTTCATTTCCTCTTAGCAAGAATGTGCCTTGCAAATGAAAAACAGCATCAGTTAAACTTCTAGAAAAACGGACTATGGTTTTTCACACTTGCTCTGGTTCTCTGTAGTTGTTCAAAGGGCCAGTTTTAAGCCCCTGGAAAAGCAAATTGCCTGAATGTAGGTGAGGATTTGGAGAATGGATGGGGCATATGGATCTGTTGTGATCTGGGGAGCCTCAGCTTTTTTTTTTTTTTAATTTTATGTGTATGTGTGTATTGCCTGCATGTAGGTAAGTGTCATGCAGTGCCCAAGGAGGTCAGAAGAGGCTTTCGGATCCCCTGGGACTGGAGTTACCGACAGTTGTTAGCTGCCATGTAGGTGCTGGGATTCGAACCCAGGTCTTCTGCAAGACAAACCAGTGTTCTTAACTGCTGAACCATCTCTCCAGATCCTCAGCTTTTTGATACAAGCAGTAGTGTGGGCCAAAGTGGTTTGTGTGGAACAACCCCTGGAGGAACCATCCAACCTTGAGTAGTTTGCCCAGTGTTTATAACCCTCAATTCTGGGCCACACCTTCCAGAATCATCAAGAAGATCAAATGAAGCCTCTGGCTCCAGGCTGGGGCAATATAGGTTCATTGAATACTTGGTCCCTGGTCCTGGGGACTTCTGACATACACTGTAGGTCATAGCCTGGTGTGGTTTACCTCACTCTCTTCCTTCAGCCAGCAGCTGCTGCACAGTCCTCAGCAGATTGAGAAATGAGAAAGATACCTAACCATGGGACTCTGCGGATGACGAAGGTGGCATACCCCCTCGGACTGTGTGTGGGCCTGTTTATCTATGTCGCTTATATCAAGTGGCACCGGGCCTCTGCTGCCCAGGCCTTCTTCACCATCACAGGGGCTGCCTCAGGGGCACAGTGGAGCCAGCAGGCGCTCAGTTCCCCGGGCTCAGCTATACACGGTCACGAGGTCTTCTACGGGATCATGTTTGATGCTGGGAGCACCGGCACCCGAATCCACGTCTTCCAGTTTGCCCGGCCGCCTGGAGGTATGCTTCTTGACCCTGAGCCTCTCTGGGCCCAGACACAGGGTCTGACTTCTCCCCTCTCAGGGCAAGGCTTTTAGGAGCTCCTTCAGAAGACTCTGGTGGGCTTGAACCTCTGCCTTGGAGTAACATGAAGTTACTAAGGGGCTGGAAATACAGCTAATGGTAGAGAACTTCTGTAGCTTGTGCAAGGCCTTGGGTTTGAGCTCCAGACCACTGAGAAAGAAAGTACAGTTACTAAGAGACACTGACTCAAGATGTACACAAGGCCCAGGCACCTAAATTCCCCAAGGACCCCAGGTTAGTCTTAGACTAATGAGCAGTCCTTACCACTTAGGGGCAGCTGAGACCCCCGCCCCCGAAGGGCATTTAGTGCCCTGTCCCCTCCCCATGGTGGCTGAGCCTGTGACTTGGGCTAACTCATGTTGGGAGATCTTAAGACAGGAAACAACTCCAAACTCAGGTCCATGACAGTCAGGAACCCAGGCAAGTCAGAAAAGTAAAAACTTGGAACTGCTTCAGGAGCTGCTCATGGGTCCTGGGAGCCTAGGCATGGCAGTAAGGAGGGACTTAAAGCCTGACACCCCACCAGCTTTGCTTTACAGAGTGGGACCTGGACATTAGACAGGAGGGTGGGAGGCTTCTCCTCTTGGGAACACCTTGGCTGCCTGGCTCTTCACTCTGCTCTCACATCTGTCACCTGAAGATTTACCCTCCTTGGTGCATCTGACCTGGGGCAATCCATGTTCCAGTCCTCTGCTTTGCCTCAGTCCCATATCCAAGTCCCTCATGACTAGACACCATCCTAGCATTTAACAGCCATGTCAGCATGAGATCCCAGTACCTCTCTCCAAAGCCTGTTTTATTTACTTCTGATTTCATTATTTATTTTTATATGTTTGGACCACAACTTTGCTTTAAATTTTTAAAATACTTAATTGATGATAGTTTAGATACAAAAATCTGCATAAATTTAAGGTATTAAATTTTAACAGTTACTTCTTGTGTACTCAACAGCATGAATAATGTTCTGGTCTTTTGTAAGGGTGTCACATTTGTGCATCAATACTTTTATACTTATTGCTTCATTTTTAACTTACTCTAGCAGCTAAGCACTTAGATACCAGATCCACTTGCCTACTTTTTAAAACCTCCAAAATTGGTTTTAAAACTAAGTGTAATGGAGGTGAGAGGTAGCTAAGTGGTAGAGCCTTGAGCACTTATCTAACGTGCAAGGCCCTGAGTTGATCCCCAGTACCAATATGATTTAAAAAGAAGCTAAGTTTAAGGCTGTGATTTTTTTAAAATTATTTATTTATTTATTATTTAGTCTTTTTGAGACAGGTCTCCCTGTAGCCCCAGCTAGCCTGGAACTTGCTATGTAGACCAGGCTGGCCTCTACCTCACAAAGATCTGCCCGCCTCTGCCTCTCAAGTGCTGGAATTAAAGGCATATGCCACCATGCCAGGCTTATTATTTTTATTTTATGTGCATGAATGTATTGCCTGCATATATGTAAGTGCAACTACATCATGCAATGCCTATGGAGGTCACAAGAGGGCATTGGATTCTCTGAAACTGGTGTTGGGGACAGTGGTTAGCCAGGTGGTTGCTCTTGAACACAAGAGCAGCCACTGTTCTTAACTGCTGACCCATCTCTGTAGCCTAAGGCTATGATTTTTTAATAACCGTAATCCAGTGACTGAACTTTAGAGAACAGTCTTTGTGAAAAGTTTTGTCCCTACTTTTCTGGTCCTGTTTTTTTTCTTCTTAGGTCTTCATGTTTGTATTTGGACTGTCCTCCTTGGCCCCAGGGTGTCTCTAAACACTCTCCACTTTCCCTTGTTAAAATACAGCCATTCTTTTTTGTTGTTGTTGTTTTTTTTTTTGAACCGGTCTCTCAGTAGCCCCAGCTGGAGTTTCCAACTCACAGAGATCTGTGATGGGATTCAAGTTGTGCGCCACCACACCTGGCCACACCTGACTCAATTTAAGAAGAAAACAAATCTTTAGATACCTAAACAAGGCCTGTTTAAGGATAACATTCTAGAATTAAGGACGTTATTTTTACCTTTGCAGCTTAAGATCATTTGTCTTGTTGACTCAGGAAGAATTATCTCGATGGGTGTGGTGAAGCACACCTTTGATCTCGGCACTTGCGGACTCGAGGCAGATCTTTGTGAATTCAAAGCCATCCTGGTCCACATAGTGAGTTCTAGGCCGGCCAGGGATACATAATGAGACCCTATCTTTAAAAAAGAAAAAAGAATTATCTTAAAATTTAAGTATATTATCCTCAATAAAGTTGGAGAGTTGCTTTGTTGTTTGGGGGTTTTTATGTATTGCTGGGGATCAAACCCAGGGCCTCAGGCATTTTAGGCAAGTACTCTACTACTGAGCCACACTCCTAGCCTAACCTCAATTCTTTTTAAATAAAGCATTTCTGGTGCAAACTTTTACTCAACTGAACTAAAGAGCACCATTTAGGCTGTGTCCCTCTGGGGTTGGTCTACATGGTCAGACCCCTGCTCTTAATGTCTGCTAGTCTCAGTTGTATGTATTAGAACATCATGTATATATTCAAAGCTATACTTTTTAAAACCATTTTCCCCTTAGAAACTCCCACCTTGACTCATGAAACCTTCAAAGCACTGAAGCCGGGTCTGTCTGCCTATGCTGATGATGTTGAAAAGGTAACTACTCTCTTGTGTCTGTCTGTCCTTCAAATGTTCTTCGACTTACTAGCCAGCCTCTTTCCTCTGAATCAGAGCAGTTGGCTATCTTCTAAAGGAAGGATGTCTTTGTTCCTGGTACCACCTGTGGCATTCTATGCCCCTGAGCACAGTCAGGTGCACAGAAGTGAAGGTCTCACCACCACCCCCACCACCGGTGTAGTCCATCATGGGATCCTTGAGCCTTATGCAGTTCAGACGCTCACGTGCCACAGACTTACAAAAGAATTATTTGGAAGTTAACTAAAACATTTATACTAGTCTTGTAAGTTTCGCATAATACTTTGTGATAGGGGAACATAGCGATAGAACCCACTCCCCAGAGCTAGGCAAGTGTTGTAGGACTGAGCTACTCCCTCAACCCCACAATACATTTCAAATTTTGATTTTTTGATTCAATTCCTTTGATTAAAGTTGATAAGTGTTTTCTGAAACAAATTAATGTTAAAAGTGTGTTGCTATCAAAAAGATAAAAAAATGTATGTTACAGCAGGGCTACAGGTGTAGCTCAGTGATAGAGTGCTTACCTAGCATGCCTGATGCTCTGGGTTCAATCTCCAGCACCCCAAAAGTAAATAACGAATACACAAACATATAATGTGTGAAATCCACAAAACTAAGTACATATGAAAGAATAAATGTAAAAAATTTGACTAAACTGAAATAATGATTTCTGTAAGTTTGTAGCATTTGAGCCTCTAAAGTTCTTAACACACATAACTGCACTAGCAAAGGACTCCTGGTTTTCTTCCAAAGCACTAATGAAACTGCTTGCTCAAAGACTTGTAAATTCCCTGTCATTTCAACTCCTTTTTTAATGCTGGGCATGAAACCCAGTGTCCCCCGAGTGTTAAGCAAGTGCCTGACCATTGAGCCACATCCTCAGTCCAGTTCCAGCATTTCATAAATCATGACTTACTCTGTTGCCCACAGTTGCAATGTGGTTTCAGACACAGTGGTACAAGGTTTGTTTTCCTGTAGCTTGGTTATACAGCAGAGGAATTAGTGATTCAAGAGTGGCCATCAGGTTAAACCTAATTAAATTAGTTATGTTTAGATCAATAAACTGGTGCAATTTTAAAAACCTTAGGGCCAGGTAGGTAACACATCGGGAGGGTGAGTGACTAGGCTACCTCCAGTACATGCCCCACTTTCTTGTGGAGCCTCTGAGGGTCAGTTTATATATCCTTGAACAAACACTTGAGTCTTCTACCCCTTTTTATTCTGCATATACAATATGTGGGACAGTCTGTCACTTAACATGTACCTCATCACCCCCACATACAAGGGCATCTTCAGGTGGATTTGTGGCTTAGGAATTCTGGTTGAAAAAAATGTGAGTTTTCTTCTTGAACAGACTTTGCCAATTACCCCAGTTGACATGGCAAGCCATGCTTCTAGCACTCTGGCAGGTGATGTTGACTCCTGAGTGAGGTTACTCATTTAAGGGACCTTAGAATTTGCTGGTTTCCACATCCTCATG